GAGAGCGAGAGAGAGCGAGAGAGAGAGCGAGAGAAAGCGAGAGAGAGCGAGAGAGAGAGAGAGCGAGAGAGAGAGAGAAAATACATCTTCTGGTAGGGACCTCTATTCTGGTGACAACTGTCTAAGATTAGGTTCACACCTGCACTACACTACACCCGGGAAATGCGTCCCGGGGGCTGCGCGATCGTGCGCTAGTGCACACAGCAATTGCCGTGCGGCCCCATTGATTTCAATGAGGTGACAAGTACCTTTTTTTTTGCGACATACGATGCACTGCTATTTTAGTGTTCACTTGCACGGGCGGAATCGTGGCTTGGAAACCGCGCGATCTGCCCGGCGCGGCTGGAGTGCCATTAGAAAATAATGGCACCCACAGCGCGATCGGTTCACACCTTGGCGACTCCCGGCCACGCAGCAATCATGCACAAAACCGCGCAGATTGCCGCACAGTCAGGGGTCGCCTAGGTGTGAACCTAGCTTAAGAGGGGAATTTCCGTTCACTTTATAAAGATCTCCTCTCACATCCTGTTATATCTCTGGGGCAGGAGATATCCCCATACAGCACAAAAATAACATTTTCTACTCTATGTAAAACTTTTAAAAAAATGTTTGACCTCCTGGTCCAGTCTATATCTAAGCAGATACCTGTTGGCCTTCAAAGTTGGTGGCAACCTACATATAGACCAGTTATCTCCAGGTGTCAGGGACCAGGACACCTCAAGGTGGCACCGTGGAGCTGGAGCAGATCCTGCAGTTCCACTGCTCACCTGCAGGTGTCTCTGGGGAGTCAGTGGCTGTCTGGGACTTAAGCACCTCACCTGCAGGTGTCTCTGCAATTAATCACCACCTGGTGTTACCTGGGAGGGTATTTCATCCCTCCCTGCAGTGAGGACTTTGCCACAGTATTGTCGCCATTACCTGTATCCTGTTTCCTGAATCCTGTTGCCTCCTGGAACCCTGACCAGTGATCCATGGCTCCCCTCTTGTTGCCCTGCTCCCCAGGTTCACTTTGCCCTGTTAGCTTTTCTATGTGATTTTGTTGCTTGTGGTTACTTGATTTCGGTGTGCCTAATAAACTGTGTGCTCATAGGCATTGTCTGGCGTAGTCACACATTTGGTCCTCCCGTATAGATACCTGCATGCGGTGTGGGGACACCAGTGCACGGTATCCTGGCACCAGGGAACATTTCTCTACAGAAACTCTGCACCGTCAGTGTGATTGTACTGCATAGTCTCATTCTGTGACTGTTCATACTGTATCTAGATTCAATGTATTGTGTTGTGTATCTTGTATAATTTATTATGTTCTTTTGCACAGGTGTCAGGTCCGCTTGAACAACTGCAAAGAGCACCTCTCACCCGACGTGCCGCTGATCAGGCTGCTGTCATAATTACGTACTTCGGCCCGCCCATCACATCATCAGTTGCTAGGCAGAGCAGACAAAAGTCTTGATCTCCCGATCTGCTGCCTGTCTGCAAGTAACAGCAGGGGGGGAGAGATTAGGGAAACCAGGAGGATGAGGGGGGAGAGCACGGGGATTACAGGCTCAATAACAGACTCTGATCCCCTTGCAGACAGGCAGCAGAGATCAGAAGATCGGGACTTTTTTTTTTATCAAAGCACAGGAATCAGAGCCTATCATGCATGCCTAGACCAGCCCGCCCGCCCATCTGCATCATCAGTTGCTAGGCAGACAGGGGGCTGATAAAAAAATAAAATAAAATAGATACATTGATTTGGGATGTTGGGGTGGAGAGAGAAACTGCATGGCAGGTAGAGGGCGTGGCTTGGTGGGTAGGGGCGGGGGCCCAAGAAAATGTTTGCCCAGGGTCCAATCAATATTAAAGACGGCCCTGCCAGCCGATGCACTCACCTGTTTCATTTTAGTGCCGAACATTGACCCACTGACGTCAATGACAAAGATAACATTTTTCTGGATGGTTGGAAGTCCTCGCGGTGCGAAGTAGTGAACAAAATATCCATTGTATATCTAGGTTGCAGACATGAGAAATGGTCAACACCCCAGGTTTAGGACACTCTGTGATAAATAGCACCTTGTGTGTTACATATCACACACCTACCTGAACATCTCCCGCAAGGTCTTTCAAGGCCACGTCGTACTGGATAACAAAATCTGCTGCGATGCCGGTGCTGGACTGGGCAGCTTGTTCCTTTGGAGTTGGGCTGAATGTGACGCGGGCACAGTGAGGGCTCTTCTCTACCTCCGTGGATGGAGGCATTTTTGTCTCCCCTGTAAAACAGACAGATAAAGGGTTGAACAATGCTAGCTTTCATTCTAGGGGGTGACTAAACCCAACAACATCCCCCAAAAACTAAGATATCAATTTGGCGTGATCTGATACGTTAAAGGAGAACTATGAGGTGAGTGCTTGTCACTCCTCCTCATAGTTCTAGCCGACCTGTGACAATGAGACTGTCACAGGTCGGCTCAGTAGATCGGGAAGTGAGAGAACACATACCGGTGTTCGCTCACCTCTCGATCCTGTCACGGCTCTCTGGCGTGACAGGGGAGGGGCTGGATTCCCCGCTCCGATCCGCCAGCGCTGACTGGCGGAACGGATGGGGGCGGGTACAGCTGGCTCTGCCTCTAGATAGGCAGAGCCAGCTGTCACTCACGCAGCTGGGCGGATCCAGACATAATTGTCGGGATCCGCTTCAGCTGCGGCGTCTCAGTATACTAGCTGTAGCTCCCTATATACTGAGCTTAGGGTGACGGGAGGACGCTAGTTTGTGTCCTCCAGTGACCCTAAGGAGAACTATGGGGAAAAGCCTTAACCCCATAGTTCTCCTTTAACCAGAATGAGGAGAAATTATCACATCATTTCACCGATCTTGATGACCGGTAACTCCAATGAAGGTCTTTGAAAACTTACGAGTGCTCCACACATACCTCGAACAGCGTTGGTGATCAGTCGGCTGGTACGCAGAGGCAACACTCGGACATATTCCATCCCTGTCCTTTCAGAGATGGTCACCTGCACGGTGAGGTTCTGGACTATCTGACCGGGCCTCACGCTGACAGCGTGCTCATATTTTCCCAGCTGTCTTCTCAGCAGCTCCTCGTATGTAAGAGCGAAGGTTATTTCACCTCCGGACTCCACATTCACTGAAACACGGAACTTCTCGGTCTCTCGGTCCCTGTAGTGATGTAAGGTGAGGTAATTATTGTATAATGGTAAATCAGTCGACATATGTAGACAACAGTCAGGGTGCCACACCAATGGTGTCAAGTCCAGAAAGTTCTTTTATTGTGTAATCAATACAATAAAACAGCCAATGCATTTAGGAGGTCAACACAGTCCCCTTACATCAGGGTTCAACAGTTCCCCTCACAGCTACCTCCTCATGTATCCCTCCCTTTTAGATTGTAAGCCCTCAGGGGCAGGGCCCTCCTTACCATCTTTTGTTTCATATTTATTGTTTATTGAATTGTTACAATATATATGACATAAGACAGGGGGACAACATCAGGTAAATACATATCAAATGTAATAGTAATATCAGGGGGGCAGGGGAGGGGGAGG